TGGTTGTTGTCCCTGAGCAGAGCAGGGTCAGCAAGCCAAAATCCCAAACCCTTGTGGGGTCCATCCCAGTGTCCCCGAGCAGCTCTGCCGGGAAGAACAGGCAGGGGATGATCCCAGCAAGGTGCTGGAGTGGATTTTTGGTTTTCCCTGGATTTTTCCCTCTCGGCTGCCTTCCCCACAACAGGCAGCAACGCTGTGCCCTTGTGTAACACGGGAGGAGCAGGGACTAAATCCAGCCAAAACCTTGGATAGGAACCAAAGCACCTTCATCCCTCCAGCGGGCGCCACAACCCATCCGGGGCCACCCATCCCATCCTTCCAGGGTGTCCCGGAGGAAGGACTTCCCTCTGATTTAACAGGGCAGCCTCTGCCTCTCTTCATTAAGTGGTGTTGGCTTATTAAAAGCACATTTTTGAGGCTTAGCAGCTCCACGGAGCCGTCTGGCAGGGACGGTGCCAGCGGCGCGCGGCGGGAGGACGCTCTGGGCGGCCCTGGCAGAGCCCAGCCGGGCTGGGCATCCCTTCAGCCGGGGGAACAACCCGCCTGTTTGGTACCCAAGGGTGGTTTCGGGTGGGAAAAGGAGAGGATGGAAGGATCCAGCCGGGATTTGGGTGGTGGGAGCCCTCGGAGTGTGGGCAGCTCGGGCTGTGCCCTGGCAAAGCGTCGCTCGGGGTGGGATCTTCCCAGGGAGGATGGATGGGCAGGAGAGGGGGGGTCTGGCCCCACCTGTCTCCAGGAGCAGATGGTGGAATCATGGAATGGTTTGGGTTGGAAAGGACCTTAAAGATCATCTCATTCTGCCCCCTGCCACAGGCAGGGACACCTTCCACTAGGCCAGGTTGCTCCAAGTCCCATCCAACCCGGCCTTGGGGTGGCTGCATTCCCACTGTGATGTTCTTTATGGCAGCACAGAGTAGGAGAAATGATCCCAATCTTTTACTCACAGCCTGACCAGATCTGAACTGGAGTCGTGGGAGGCATCAGTGGGGAGGGCTGGGGTGGGGAGGGCAGCGTGGCCACAGCTCTCCCTGGGTGGGATCAGAGGGGAAACTCGGCTTTTTTGGAACCTGTGCGACTCTTCCTGTGGAAAACCTCTCATCCCTGAGGCATCCCATCAGGTTTTCCCTGCAGTGACAGGAAAGCTCGGGGGACACGATGCTGCTCTGCTGTGTTGGTGTGTGAAGGTCCATCCCATCACCGCCAGCCCTCTTTTATCCCAAATTTTGAGCTTCCCTCACCTAAAATCCTTGTTCCCTGTTGCTGTCCCGGGAGGAATTCCTCCCTTGCTGGCTGTGGAGTGGCTCTAAGTGGTTCAATATGTTGGCAGTTGCCGCTGGAGTCGGACAGTAAACGCTAATGGGATCTCAGTCTGTGCTCTGTCCCAAACCCTCTGGAAGGGGTTTAGTGCAAATTGGATTTGCAAACCTCGCTCGGGTCTCTCTGCCCTCGGCAAAGCTCCGTAATCCCCGGCGGGAGCCCGGACAAACGGGCTCCTTCCGTGCCACAAGGAATCTGGTATCCACGGGGAGGAGAGGAGGGAATTCCCAGTGCTGGGCATCACCTGTGCTTCTTGCTCGGGATGGTGTTGTGGGATGTGGATGGATGCTCATCCCTCAGGGAGCACCCGGGGGCTGGAACTCCCCCATCTCACCCCTGGCACAGCTCCTGCCTGGCTCACCCCATCCTGCCAGCAGGAATGTTGGATTAGGGCGGGATCTGCTTCTCTAGAGATGAAAATGGGAATTATCCCTGAAGGGATCGTGCCAGCACACTTGGGACATGTGGAAAAGGAGAGGTGGAACCCTGGAATTAATATGTGGAGTCCTTCAAGCTCAATTGTGCTCCCAGGGTGTTTTTCCAAAGGGGAAACTGAGGAATGTTGTGGCACAGTGACCCTGCTCCTGGGGATTTTGGGGGGGCTGGAGCGTGTTGTGGCACCGCAAAGACGGAAAACCCCACAAATCAGGGAAGGGGCAAGCGGCCACAGCCACAGTGTGGGGTTGATGCTGTTCTCCCAAACCTCTTGGATCCTGGATCCCTCCTGGATCCCACTGAAGGCTTTTCCTTTCTTGGGAAAACAGGAGTTTTTGCCCCCCAGATCCCAGCGGTGTCGAAAGGGGAGCCCAGAGCAAAGCACATCTGGGGCCTGGGCTCCGTCCCGCTGCCAAAATTTAAGCTTGTAACCCTCTTTCCCCAGGCACTGGGATTGTTCAAACAAGCCCCAGTAATTAGTTTCCTCTGACAAACCGCCCCTTTTTGGCATCAGGAGGTTATTTAGCGCGGGGGGGGGGGGGGGGATGCAAAAATAATTGACATTCAGAGTTTGGGTTTTGGCACGAGAGGGAAAATCTGGGCTGGTGAAACATCCCTGGGGGGCAGAGAAGGACAACACAGCAGCACCCAAGGGTGCCTGGCAGCGGGTGGGGGGTCTTTGGCTGGTGTTATCCCTGATTTCCTGCACGTCTCCATAAACCAGCCTGGCTTGGGAGGGATCCCGAGCCACGTATTTTTATTTTCCAGGCCCACCAGCAAATGGATCTGTCTGCAGAGGGGGGTTTCTTGCAGGGTATTCCCACCTCGTTCCCTGCTCTGGTGTTAATTCCCACTCTCCGCTCCCACCCTGAATCATTTTGATATCAATTAATCTCTAATTACTCACCTTCCCATAAAGGGTGGCTCCTGCTGCTGCTTAGACCTGATGGAATCGGCTTAGGGAGGTTTTTGGGTTGCTGCAGCCGAGGTGACCTTGGTGGAGCTGTCACACCTTGTCACACCTTGTCAGGGTCAGTGGGGACACAGAGCCACCTCACCCCCCCCAGAGACCACAATTTGGGGACCAAAATTTGGGGACCACCAGCTGAGACCACGACCTCGGGTCTCACACCACCCACCTCCACCCAGAGAGGATTTTTAAATACTTTTGCTGCTTTCAGCTGGAAGAAGAATGAATATCCCTCCCCAAAATGTGCTGTTTTCAAGGCTTTTCTCTCACTGCTGGGGGGGGTGAGGGGGGCTGGGGGTGCAGGGCTCGGCCAGGTGTCCCCAGGATGTCCCCAAGCCGGGCTGGGTGAGCCCTGCAGTGGGTTGTGCTGCATCAAACCGGGCTTTTCATTAATGCTGATTTAAATTTCAGCTGCGTTTCTACCTCCGGCGTGTCCCGGAGAGAGTGATGGAGTGGGGAGGGGGGGGAAATCACGGGAAGCCGAGGATGGAGGGGAAGCAGCATCATTATTTGCCCTTGCAGGGATGGGCTAAGCCCAGCTGGGGCTGAACTGGTCCCAACCTGGTGCCAGGGGAGCAGAAATCACCGCGCTTGGCTCCGCATCCAGCGGGATTCGCTCCCCCGCCCGGCACCCGCTGCGTATCCCGGTAATTAATGACAGGAAAGCCCAGGTGAGACCTCCAGGAAAGGAATCAAAGGCTCTGCTGCCGCTTTCCAGGGCACGGATGAATCCTGCTGGGACAGGGGCCTCCCCACAGCCCAGGGCACGCGTCGGATGGTGGGAATGGGAATCCCGCGGGAGGGACGGGAGAGGGTGAGAGGGGTCAGATCATCCCCGTGGCCGTCTGGAGGATTCCTCGCAGAAATCCAGCCCTCAAACAGGGCTGAGTGGAGCTCTGGGGGGTGTGGGGAGAGGCAAGTGGGTTGTGGCTGTGGGGTGTCCGGGCTGGGGGCGCTGGTGGTGGGTTTTCCATCCCGGTGAGTTTGGTTCGTGCCCGTGCAAACCAGCCCGGCTCGGGGGGGCAGGAGGCTGTCCCTGCCACGCAGGGGTGGCTCAAGGTGCCCCTTGGCCCTGGCACAGGTGGGGATTTTCCTGCCCTGTGCTCCTTTCCCTGCTGGGGTTGATCCCAGCCAGGGGTTGATGCTCCCTGTCTGGAGTGGAGCTGGAGTTGGGATCATGGGGCTTTTTCCCTTCTCATTCGTGCACTCACTGTTGGAAGAGGAAAAGCCAATAGGGCAGCTCAGATCAGGGTTTGGAGCTTTTTTTGCTCCCAAAACCCCCTCTTCTCGGGCCAGTTTGGGCATTTTGGGGCTACTTTGGGCATTTGGGGGCTGGTTTGACCCTGGGGCACCGACCTTCTCACTGCAGCTCCGGTATTCCCAGTGCAGCATCCGTCCTGGCTGGGAGTGTTGGAGGGGTTCCATTCCGAAAAAAATAATGTTAGGAGCTCGTAATTAGTTTCAGGGGAAGGTCTGAGGCAATTTTGGCGAAGCTCTGAGGAAGTTTTGAGGAAGCTCTGAGGAAGTTTTGAGGAA